AGAGAATTTCAAATAAAGTTTTTAAAAACTGAGCTTCATAAATATAAATATCTCATGTGTTAACTTTGTGAAGGTTTGGTGTACACAATAGAGCAATGAACAGTGATCCTCAAGCACAGCTGAAATGAAAATACAAAAAAGGTCTCTGTGACCTGTGATAAGAAGTATAAAACCATCATAATAAGACATTGATAGCACAGATTAGTTTCTGTGGGAATTGAAAGGAATTCCCTTTTACCAGACAAGATTAAAAAATAAAAAGTGCCTCTTCTTGTTGGAACCAGTGAAAAGGTGCCCTTTTCCTGCATAGACACTCTCCAGTGTCAGGGCACCCGGTTGTGAAGGCAAAAAGCAGGCTGGCTTTAGTGTTCTCTTGTGTAATTTCAATTATGCTGTGTTTTACCTGCTGCAATAATATCTTTTGAGAATAGCAGAACAACAAGAGAGAAGGAAGCTTGCTTTCTCATACAATAGCACCATCCTATCTTCAAAGACTGCTGAATATTAGAATGCTAAAAAACAGAAGAAAATAAAATATTTATTTTGCTATCATGTTTTCTTTTTTTTTGATACTTCGGTCGAACCTATAACTAAAAAAAAGAAAAAACCAACACACACACACACACACACACACACACACACACACACACACACACACACTATAGTAAATGGTAAAGAAAGCTTAGGCATAAAACTTAGATATCATTTTAAGGAATTTAATATTTCCACAAGTATAAACACAATGGTAGCATATACTATACAGTATGTGAGCTCTAGATATATTACTATTGTATAACTTAAAATTAACTTATAAAGTATAACAATACAGAAAATGTCAAACACAAAATTGTATTCCGCTATGATTGTAACTACCTACAAAATTATATATATAAACTAGTATAAACAGGGAACCCAGGGCAGAAAAAAAAATAAGTAGTATGATTTTTTAAAAGTTGTAGCTATAGATTAAGTCTTCAGTTTCAATGATAATGTCTGTACAATAAATAAAGGTGGAATACAATATGCTTCTTTTATTTTATATTCTTCCCCTATACTATCATTGGTCTCACTTCTTTATAATGGCCATGACATCAGAAAAACTAATAAAATTTTGATACACTTCTGCTTTATTGACATTGAATATACAAGTAGTTGTCAATCTACAAATAATTATGTTCTAAATAGCTGGTATATTTGTTTTTGGAATTTAAGACACCTTTTCTCATATAAACAATGTTAAAATGATAGTCAAGTTTCCAAGCTAGCATGCAAGAGCCTATTTAACCTATAAGATCACTGCTAGAGTAATCCTAAGGCTCCCCCAAGCCAAGTGCCCCTGAGACCCAAAGGTCTTTACATAAGGAATATAAATGGAGACCTACCAAGGATTATGGCTTGATGGCTGTGCTCCTACAAGACAAGGGTGTGGGAGCACAGTTGGGAAGACATCAATGCTATAAATAGAAACAGGTCAAGCTCCTGGAAAGGATAGAAGAGTGATAACCTTTCACATGGCCAAGTCAATCCTATTTCCAGGTCACTGGCATCCTAAGACATGGATTTTCTTTGTTTTCATGCCTTCTGTAGTCATTTCTATGTCTGTTTTAACTTTTAATTTAAAAGCCTTATGTAAACATGGTTATGAGTCTGATTTCTAAATAAGATTCCAAATAAAATATTTAAAAGACTGATTCCTTTCATTTTAAAAACTTCCATGGTGCCTGCCAGATGAAGGAACGAGATGCCCAGGAAAACTAAGAGTAATTGACTTGGGGAAACATGGACTTGCAAACCTGATATTTTGTTAAACGAGATATAAAGTTGCATAAAATCTTGTTACTAATAGTTTTATAACTTTAAAATTTACTTGGACTTTTAAAATTTTTTATTATTTTTTATTTTTGAGTTGGAGTCTCACTCCATTGCTTAGGCTGGAGTGTGGTGGCACGCTCACGACCACTCCCATCATCGACCTGCTAGGCTCCAGCCATCCTTCCGCCTCAGCCTTCCAAGTAGCCGGAACCATAGGTGCGCACTACCATGCCCGACCAATTTTTTTTTCTTTAATTTATTGTAGAGATGAGGTCTCGTCAAGTTGCTCAGACTGGTCTCGAACCTGCGGGCTCAGGCAATTCACTCACCTCGGCCTTCCAAAGTGCTGGGATTACAGGTTGAGCCACCAGCCTGGCCTTTTTTTTTTTTTTAACTAAATGCTAACTGAAAACTTTATCTCAGTTATTTTTGCAGATTACATAGTTCTCTATAAAGTATGAGGAAACAGAAGGGTGTGTATTACTTGCAAACGAACTTCAAGCAGTTAGTTGGCCAACCACTTCCTCCCTAATAGAAACTTAAATATCATTATTCACTAAATGTAACCTGTGCCTTTGTGTTGAAAAAGAACTTAATTTCAGCACAGGATGTGGTGTGTATGTGTAAAATAGAACTAAGATGAAATCAAATTTGGATGCTAAAAAATAAAAAAGCTTCTTCAAAACTAGTATTCAATCTCTAATATGCCCCAGTTTCTTAAAATCTTAAATCTCTAAACATTTACTTCTAATCTGGCTCTTCAAGATGAAATTTTATCTGAAACAAAACAATACAACCCCCCCCAAAAAAAAACAAACCAAAAAATCCCTGACAGCATGGAAATCTACTTTGATAAAATAATACTGAAGTATTAACAAGTGAAAAGAATACAGGACCTTCAAAATTCATGAGGGAAATGAAGAGCTTTGTGAAGAATTTAGGAATAACAATGCATTTATTTTTTAAATAGTAAAAGATTTAAAATAATGTTTAAACATTTCACATAGGAATTGGGGAAGAAAACGACTCCAAGAAGTACTATTTTATCATGAGAAGTGAATCCTCTCACTTACTGTTAAAATTCAATGCAATACTGATATTGATAGGATAAAATCTAAAAATCTCCTTTGCAAGGCATCCAGTGTTTTTAAAGATATGATTCCTGTCTACCTTTTCAAGCTTCTTGACAATCTCCTCCTTCCACCCAACTCCACCCTCCAAGCTTTTCCATACAGAGTCTTTTGGTTTGGACCAATGCCCACTCATCCTTCATGTCTCAGTGCAAATACTACTTCTCTTGTTACTCCTTCCTTCACTTCCCCACACAGAGCCTGGCCATCACTCTTGGTGGCATCTCTGCTTATATTTTGTACTCAGCTCCACCATACAATTGCATCTTAATTGTTGAAGTGCCAAGTTTTTCTCTCCATTAAAAAATAAGGACCACATCTTTTCTTGTTTGTATCCCCAGCACCAAGCACACAATCTCATCCACAGTTAAAAAAAAAAGCATTAAAAATGAAAAAGAAAAAAGCAGGTGGTTGTAAATAGTCCCCTAAGAGTACTGTGAGAATTTAAGGACTTACTACAAAGTCTTTCTCTGGAAAATTTAAAGTAACCTTTTAGCAGAATTATTGGCAAACTGGAAAACTCAACGAGCACATGCAGAATATAACTAAAATTTTGTAAGAGCAAAATTAAAAATAAAATAAAACCTTATGCTTAAAAAAAACTGGAAGGCTATAAAAATGTTAACAATCATGTTAAAATGGTGAAAAGTCATGGATTGATTTTCTGCATTCCCCTCCTTCCTTTTTACACTGTTTACAAAAGTGTCTTAAATGCTTCCCTTAGCCTAATATTCTTTTTCATAATATGACTTTGGCTCCCTATAAAAATTGATGGCAATATGTTAAACTTTCAAAATTATCCAACTGAAATGGTGAGAACCTAGCACTATGCCATTCCAAGCATGGAAGAAAATGACAGCCTAGCACCTTGTTGCCCCAAGGGTAGAAGAAAAGATGTAGGATGTACATACTTTAAATAAACTGGTTTTTTATTACTCATACTATACATTTGTTGTTGTTGTTTTGACTTGGAGTCTCACTCTGTCACCCAGACTGGAGTGCAGTGGCCGCTCCCGGCCACCGCATCCTCGACCTGCTGGGCTCCGGTGATCCTTCTGCCTCGGCGTTCCAAGTAGCCGGAACTACAGGTGCGCACTATCACGCCCGACTAATTTTTGATTTATTGTAGAGATGAGGTCTTGCCAGCTTGCCCAGGCGGGTCTCGAACCCGGGGATTCAGGCAATCCACTCACCTCAGCCTCCCAAAGCGCGAGATTACAGGCTGAGCCACTGAGCCCGGCTCATACTATATATTTGTAACTTGTTTTGATAGTCTCTCTCAAGATCCAAAAAAGAGACGACTTACATAGAACAAGAAACCAATTAGCATTCATAGATTACCTTGTATAATGGTAGATGCTAAAGGGTATATACCAGGTAAAATAAGACATGGTCTCTATCTTCAAGCAATTAACAGTTTAATGGGAGAGGGAAAAACTACCTAGATAAAACACCAACAGCTTATAATTGGGTGATAATTTATGTAGTATAGACAATAATTTTATCAGCAAATCAACATATAAATATCACTACTACCTGACAAATATGGCACAGTCTGAGAAACTATTCTATTTTTAGACTGGAAAGATGAGCTATCACAACTATGAGTTACAAGTATCATGCTAAACCATAAAGGTATTTTTCAAATCTTAAGACTTGTTGAGTTTGGCTTTAAGTGTGACAGAAACTGGAACTCTAACATCAAATTTTAGACCATTGCTTTTCTAAGGGGAAAAACTACAGAAACAAATTATACCTGAGATTTTTGCCTTTGGGCTTCTGCTGGAAAGAGCTCCATCCAGAGACTGAGAAGAGTGAAAAGGTTGACTTTAGAAAGCCTTGGTATCTGGCCTACAAAAGAGAAGGCAAACACCTTGAAACTGTACTCATGATGAAGATAGGAATCAAGCTCAACGCCACTTGGGTGCTGCAGCCTTGGCTCAGCCGCTTTAGCAGGAAGCGGAGAAAAAGGATTGGAGGACTAGAGAATCAGAGCGTTCTTAACAAGAGACGCTTCAGCCTCACTTGCGGCGACCTCCCGCGGCACTTTCCAAAGTTGGGCCTTCATGTGCAGCCCTCACACGGCAGAAATATGGTACAGCCAATACACGCAGCCATGGGAACCCAAAGGAAGTTGCAGAAAGTCCTGGTATCTGACGCAGCCAAGGAGCGAGCTTTCGTTGGACTGTGATGGGGCGTTGCTACAAGGACCGTGATTAGAACCTGGCCCTAAACATGCCGTGACCTTCGATGGTAAAGCAGTGGAATCACAGCAAAGGGTCACGTGCGGGTAACTTGGAAATCAAGGCAAACGCAAGGTGTGGGGACCTTTCAGACTGTCAACCCCTAAATCCCAAAATGCCAGCTCTAGGTCCTGCGAGGAATAGTAAAGTGCGAGCCGTCAAAAGCCGGAGCGACTGTGCTGAGAGGTCCCGGTGACCGAGGCGGGGACACGCCCAGGGCGGGGATGAGACATCCAGGAGCAGCAGGGCAGGCGGAGAGGGGCAGGCAAGGAATCCGGGGGTCAACCACGGGAGACGCACAGGGCAGAGCGAAAGGCAGTGTGGCGGGAGCAGGGCCCGGGCACTCACCAGTCATGCTGCCAGTCTGGGTGCCGACTGACCGCCCGGGACCCGCGCTCTCCAGATTTTGCATCTGCCCTGCTTCTTTCATCCCAAGTCCAGCGTCCTCTGCTGCCCAGGAAACCTCTCCCAGTCAGGCATGATCTTGGCCCCAGCGGCACCACGCCCGCTCCCCCTCTCGCCTCCTTCCGGCAACTGTCGGCGAAGGCCGACGAGGCGCGGCCGGATGACGTCTCAGGCCCGATCGCCACTCTCGGGTGCGTTGTGTGACGTCAGAGGGAGGCGTGGCCGCGGCGGCTCAGGGCTACCTCTCCCGCGGTGACCCAGAGGGTGCAAAGTCATGGGGTGGTAATCGCTGGGCACTTGTGTTTTGTTGTTTGGTTAGGTTTGGCCGAAATAAGGTCACTTGAGGATTTCTTGGCTCCCAGTACCAGGTTGTGCAGGCTCTGATGGGGTGATGGCTGCGCAGAAATGAGAATTTTGATTAGAGCGGAGGAGTGTTGAAATGGAAAAGCCTTCTCCACTCTGTCATGGTCGCGGCTTTGGAGAACCTGAGGGGTGAGGAGGGTGGCAGCTGGCGGTCTAGCATGCTGCTATCATCAGAGATAGACCAGCCCTGGGAAATTTAATGCCGTGAAACACAGTAGGGAGGTTCTGCTTCTTATCAAGACCTCGAAGACATTAAGAGGTGGAACTGTAATTGGGGAAAAGGTGAGGAAAGGAGGGAGTAGCAAGTGGCCCCTGGAACATCTGAGAGGTAGTATGACTTTGTGGGTTTGTGCCCAGTGCATTTATTTTATTGAAGTGTCTCGGGCCTGACTCCAAGTGAAAGCCTTCCTTCCTCAGTGACTCCGAGCCCAGTTTCCATGACCTACTCTTTCTGTTATCACAACCTGACATACAAACTGCAAGACACAAAAATGACTCAGATTATGAGAGCAAACCATTTTGTAGAGAACTGAAGCGAGAATCTTCCTGTTGGTGGTGTGCCTGTGACCACTAGTTTTCACTACTGTATAGTATTTCGTTATAGGTGCAGACCCTGATTTATCTGAGTGTAAGGACATTTAGGCCATTTCCAGCTTCTTGCTGTTGCAAAAAAGAAAAACAAAAAAATCAATTATAAACATATTGTTTATGTCTCCTTACGTTCATATGCAAGAGTTTCTTTAGGGACCATACTTAGAAGTAGAATTCTTGGGTTGTTATTGTCAAGTTGACTACTTAATGCTGAAACATTTTCCAAAGGGATTGAACCAGTTTACCATCAATTCTTGGTAATGTCAGATTTTTAATGTTTGTCAATCTGGTTGGTATACAATGCTTTCTTGTGGTTATATTTTCCCTTTCTACTTAAGTTGAACATCTTGTCGTATATTGACTGGCCATAAATGTTTCCTCTCTATGAAATACCTGTTAATTTTTCTATTTGGTTGTTTCTTCTTATTTCTTATTGATTGGAAAGCAATCCTTATATAATGTATTCTGGATAGTTATTCTATCTAGGATAAAATATTTGCCAATCACATGTCCAACAAAGGACTCATATCTAGAATGTATAAAGAACATGCTAAATTCAAGAGTAAGTATATATACAATCCCTTTAGAAAATGCACACAAGATTTGATAAGTCACGTCAAAGAAGATATACAGATGGAAAATGAAGCACATGAAAAGATGTTCACTGTCATTAGCCATTCAGGAGATGTAAATTAAAACCATAAGGAGATTCCATCACACACCTATTAGAGTGGCTAAAATGAAAAGTACTTTGGCAGTAGTGAGACACTGCTGGGGGTGGGGGGGGAGATGGTACATACCATCAATAAGGGTACCCACACTTTACTATGATGACCATGTATGAATCTAACCCTCATTTGTACTCCACATTTTAAAAATAAAATAATTTTTAAAAAATTAAAGATGCAACTGAAAAAAAGAAAAGTACTGACAGCACCAAATGCTAGTGAGGATGCAGAGCAACTGGATCTCTCTTACATGACTAGTGAGAATATAAAATAGTACAGCCACTCCAGAATATAGTTTGACAGTTTCATATAAAATTAAACATACACCTATCATATAATCCAGCAATTACACTCCTGAGTATTTATTCTAGAAAATTTAAAACTTATGTTCGCACAAAACTCTCTACATGAATGTCATAGCATCTATAATTATAGTAGTCAAAAACTAGTAAACAAGCCTAACATCCATGCATTGGAACACTACTTGGCTATAAAAAGGATTGGACTATCATGATGGTCAATAACTTGAAATCCCAAGGGCATTGTGTTGAGTGAAAATAGCCAATCTTAAAGGGTTAGATACTGACTTCATCTATATACCATTCTCAAAGTGAAAAAAAATGTAGTGATGGAGATTGGATCTGTGATTGCCAAGTATTATGAAGGGGAGAAAAGTGTGACTAATAAAGGGTAACAAGAGAGAGTTTCTTTGTGTTGATAGTTACTCATATCTATACATGTGATAAAGTTTTATAGAAATATACACCTGGAACCAAAAATAGTACATTAAAAACTTGTGAAATCCAAATAAGATCTGTACCTGAAATAATGGTATTGTACCAATATCAGTTTCCTGTTTTCCCAACATACTAAGATTAAGATACTATTGCAGAAGAAGGGTAAAGGTTGCATAAGGGCTCTGTATTATTTTTATATCTTCTTTTGAGTCTTAAACTTTCAAAATAAAAATATGTATATGTATCCATATATCTTATATCATATATATGTTTTGCATATATGTGTGTGTGTGTGTGTCTGTGTGTTGTTTAGTCCTGGGTATTACAGATCTGCCCTGCCCTTTAAATAACCATTAGCTTTCTTTGGATTCCTGGTCTCATCTGATTTTCAGGCCTTTAGTGTTTCAGAGTAGTTTAAATACTTGGACTATTTCCCTTACTGTCTTGCGAGCTTAGCCATATTTTATCCGGCATTTTAGGTGTTTGTAGCTGAAATGTTTGTGGGGGCTATTTTATCCACAGTATTGGTGGAAATAATTGTTCTGCTGCAAAGAAGAATAAGAGGACTAAAAAGAATTATAAGATAAAATCCTACCCAAGTGCAGATAAGTGGACAAACTCGGAGCAGCTGAGTCCTAGAAAGGCCAGCTTAATTAATAAAATTGTTTTAAGATCAATAAATAATTACTTATATCAGTTGGAAAGAGCATGGTCTTTGATGTCAGATAGATAACCTATATTTACACTTTAAGTACACAAGTTATTTACCAGTCAACTGCATCCATCTGTTTAGACCCAGTTTGCTGTAAATAACAAATGATCACCAAATCTCAGTGGCTTGCCCCAGCACAGGCTTACTTCTGGCTCACATTACATGCTCCTATGGATCCTGTCCTTTCCTCCCCTCTCCCCTCCCCTTGGTGTGTGACTCATCTCCCTAGCATGCTAGTTGGCCTCCTTGGCTTCCCAGCCCCTCTGCTGCTGCTTCCACAGCCTCTTCTGCCTCAAATGGGAGGAAAGGGGAGGGAAAACTGTCAATACTTTTTTTTTAAAGATGTGGGGCACAATTCAGGATTAGGTATACAAATGGACATCCTGTCAATACTTTCTGGCTGAATTATTCAGGGAGAGATTGTCGGAGACCGGCTACAACCGAGGGGGATTGGGCCTGAATCGGGGGAATCAGGAAACGGCGAAGAAGAAACAACTCAGAGGCAGTTCTTCTGGGTTCAGTCTGATCAGGACTGTTCCAACTTTTATTCAATCTCTTTCCAGCTTATATACCATTTTCTTATTTATTTATTTATTTATCTTTTTATTATGAAGTTGTGGGGTATAGTTAAGGGTTAGGTATACAATTGCGTTTCATTCAGGCACCCTGTTGATATGGGGTGTTTCCCCGTTCCCAGACAGATATTTGCTACTGTTAATCCCATCTCCCTCCCCCCACCATAGTTTCCCAGTATGGTCAGTCATTTTCGTATAGTATTGCATTGGATGTTTAAGGTCCATTATATAGTGAGAACATGTGATATTCGGATCTTTGTTTCTGTGAGAGGTCACTCAGTATTATAGACTCTAGTTCCATCCAGGTTGCTGCGAAATTCATGATTTTGTTCTTTTTTATGGCGGCGTAGTATTCCATCATGTATATGTACCACATTTTTTTAATCCGGTCCTCTTTTGACGGGCAGCATGGCTGTTTCCAGGTTCTTGCTATTGTGAACAACGCTGCGATAAACATGCGTGTGCAGGTATCTTTTTTATAGAGTGATTTGTGTTCTTCACGATATATTCCCAGTAGGGGGATTGCAGGGTCATATGGGAGGTTGGTATTTAGGGCTTTTAGGAATCGCCACACTGCTTTCCACAGAGGTTGCACTAGTTTACACTCCCCCCAACAGTGTAGAAGTGTTCCCTTTTCACCACACACTCTCAAGCAGCTGTTATTTTTTGACTTGTTGATAATTGCCATATTCCGACTGGTGTTAGGTGGTATCTCAGTGTGGTTTTGATTTGCATCTCCCTGATGATTAGTGAGGTTGAACATTTCTTCATGTGTTTGTTGGCTGCTTGGATGTCTTCCTTTGTGAAGTGTCTGTTCATATCTTTTGCCCATTTTATAATGGGATTGTTTGTTTTTTTCTTTTCAGCACGTTTGAGTTCCTTGTAGATCCAGGATGCTAAGCCTTTGTCAGACCTGGAGTTGGCAAATACTTTTTCCCAGTCTGTAGGCTGTCTCCGTGCTCTCTTGATGGTTTCTTTGGCTTTGCAGAAGCTTGTCAGTTTAATAAGGTCCCACTTGTCTATTTTCTCTCTTATGAACTGTGGGTTTTGGGTTTTGTTCAGGAATTGGATGCCAGTTCCGATTTCCATGAGGGTATTTCCTTCATTTTCTAAGGTTCTTATGGTTTGAGGTTTTACATTTAGGTCTCTGATCCATTTGGAATTAACCTTTGTGCATGGAGATAGATAGGGGTCCTGTTTCAATCTTCTGCATGTGGTCAGCCAGTTTTCCCAGCACCATTTACTGAATAGGTTCTCCTCTCCCCACTGATAGGTGGTGGAGGCTTTGTCAAAGATGAGTTGGTTGAGAAATTGAGGTTTTGCTTCTGGAATCTCAATTCTGTTCCATTGATCTATATGCCTGTTCCCGTACCAATACCAAGCTGCTTTGATGATTGTAGCTTTATAGTAAAGTTTGAAGTCTGGTATTGTGATACCACCTGCTTGGTTTTTTTTG